ACAAAATCTTTCGGAATCCCCCAGCTGCGTACCTCTCCAAGAGCTTCTTGGATCTTGTCGCCCTGATGTGTCGCAAGGTGGCCGTAAGTCGCTGGCCCGTACGTCTCCGGTAAGCCCCTAGCCCTAGGTCTTGTTTAATGATGCGCGACATCGTCCGGACAGGAATCTTCATTTCCCTGGATAGGATCTTCTGCTTCCGGAGTGGATTCCTTTGAATGCTGGCTTTTACGGCTTTGATGGCTGCTGGAGTCCTTACTTGACGAGGTCTTCCGCTTCTTGGCCTGTCATCAACAGAGGACGTCTCATTGTACCGCTGAATGGTCCTAGACACAAATTTACGCGATATTTGAAGGCCGCGTAAGAGTTCAAAAATCTGACTAGCACTGTGATTACACTTATGTAAAGCTATCACTGCAATACGGTTCTCTGCCTTGCCCCACTCCATCGTTATGCTTCGAGAGATCAATACAAACTGAGGTATATGTAATTACCCGAAAAGCGCTTAATCAACTGACACCACAATGTAAACAATCGGACAAGTATTAACAGGTCTACACTTGTTTGAAAACGAGGGACAGAACTTATGGCATGACTACGTACATAACCACCCGCCATATTGGGCAAAAATATGTTCCTCTATTGAAAATTAATTAATTATGTTCAGTTCGACATTACAGATATAAGTGATAAACATTAGTGTAATTGTGTCTAAATATAGGATTTGTGGAAGATTTAACGCAGGTAAGTTCAGTTTTTCATCTTAAAAATCTAAACATACCTTTGATCATTATTAAAATATGAAATACGAAGCCCGTACAAATTACGTAACTATTTTGCACGATAATCACAATGAAATTTGGTGCGCAAGTAATTCAATAGCCCTATATCACCGTGTAGAAGTTTATCATATACCTGTGTATGAAATTCACAATGGCCGATATGTAAGTGAACAAGATGACTGTAATGTGTTAGTTATCGCCTATAAAATACATAAGAAATAGTTTGGTTGCAATAAAGTAGAGTCATGTAACAGAATAGTTGTATAGACAAAAAACTGAATCTTGCACCGATGCAAATGTTCTATAGCCGCTGCAAGAGGTTTACACTTTTGTTGTATAACTGTTACCTGCAGCCCTTATACAACCTCTTAAATGACTGAAGTGTCCTATTAGGTGTGCCCATTTCGCTTGTATAGCTGTTCTAAGAGCGTGTTGCCAATGTTCTTACAGCATACAATGCGGTGTAAGGAAGACTGTATAATCGTTCTTGCAACTCTAATAGGAGTGATAATTGTTATTTGGGCATGTTACTTGTGACTCATCGGACGCTACCCATTGACCCTTTTCCTTCGCCATTTCTGCCTATATTTGTTCCGTGCCGAGTTACGAACATTCATGGAAGTGGTCTAGACAATGTTACCAGGTTAAAAAAATAAAAATCACTAGAAATTTTACTAAAAAATCACTAGATTGAATAAAAAATCATAGACTGAATAAAAAATCACTAGATTTTTTATTTATATATTTTTTTATATATAGAGGTAAGTAATAATTTTTTTTTAATTTCTAAGGCTCTACTTTTAAAAACAAAAACGTAGATTAGAACAGACACTTAAAATAAACCATAAATATAAACAGACAAAAGTAATAAAACTGAATAAAAAAAATAAAAAAAACTAAATAAAAATGAAAGCTTAAAAACGTAACAATTAACATGAAATTAAATAAACTTACTTAAAACTACATTAACCTAAACGCATTTAAAAAAGAATGACTTTCTTTCGAGTACATATTATTATGTAAAAAGATTCTTAAAACACTTAAAACAAACAACCAAACGTAAATTTGAACAGACTCTTAAAAGAAGCCACAAATACAAAACCATCAGACAAAAGTAACAAAACACCAAATATATTTCAAAGCTTAAAGACGTCACAATAAAAACGAAATTAAGCATAACTAATTAAAAACTACCTTAAAATAAACAAATTTAATAAGAATATCATTCTTACGAGTACATATTATTATCATGTTTTTTCATAATGTCCATTGAAATTGGAAAATTGAAGCAGCTTTTATCCTCGGCATTAATTAGTTTTTTGCTGTGCAAAATTCGACTTATTGTCGTAGCAGCCAGTCGATTAGGCAATTCGGTTTTGTTTAAATAATTGTAAAAAATAATCTCTCCACACTTGCGCTACTGTGTGTGATAATGTAAATAAAATTTGAACAAAATTGGCAAGCTCTGGGTATGCGAGACTATCATCCCCTTTTTTGATATTGCTTATGTTTTTCCAGAATTGAATTTCACCAAGCGAAAAATCACATTCAGGAAACTTCAATCGCCTAAATCCTTTATATAAATTGTTAATGTTTTTAACTATATTTGGAAACCTACTAGCCAGAGGTCCTATGCTTTCAGTTGATGATACATTTGATGGGTGCAGAAAAGTTATTAGTTTGAGAATCTGTACTTCTCGGGAATTAAAGGGGAATCGCTTCCATATTTGGCTTACCGCTTCAATCCAGACATTTCAATCTGAAATTATGTTTGGTATTTTCGGTAAAAAAAAGGATTATTCATGTCTTCCAATACTTTTGGACCCAAGTAATTTTTTTCCATTGGAAGAAAATGTTCTGGATTTCGACATTGAGCATTAACTATATCTGTATTTCTTAAATATTCAGATTTTATGAAAAAGCTTAATAAAAATTTACACGAGTCATTAATCCGGGGGTAGACTTGGGGGTTTCAGACTGGAATTCCAAATTCATATCCGGAAAAGTCGGTAATATAAATTGCAAAAAAGAAGATATAGTTTATTTAATTTATTATTAAGCATGTTATGGATTTCTGCTGCTAGTGAAGCTTCATCTAATGTTTCAATTCTAAAATAATTCTCTAGAGCATAATATTGCTCAATAATTCTACTTCAGCGGAAATCAGTGACAGCCACCTGGTCTGTGATGAATACAATAATTTATGGGATTTGATGTTAAAAGCAGCAGAAGATCAAGGCGCACAGAACCTTCTTACAAAACCTCACTGTAGAGAACAGACAAGCCGACGTCGAGTCCAGAAACAAATATAACGAAGAGGTTCGCAATGCCAAAAACCAGCACGATATAAAAGTTAGGCACAGGGTAATGTCGCAGCGCAATGGGAGTCGGTCGTTCCGGACGCTGGCCAAGCAGATTGAAAAGAACTTCTCACACAGTTGCCTTCCACCACTTACATGTCAGGATGGAACTATTGTATTCGACTCAAAGGCCAAGGCGGAAGTGCTATCCAAGATCTTTGTTGCCAACTCCACCATGGACGTCCCCCCCAAACGCCGAAGTGACGTCAATTCAAAGGGTACACTATGCGGGAGGTAACATTCAGGCATAAGACCGTAAGACGAGTGCTCTTGTCGCTCGACATCAACAAACCTTCTGATCCGGACTTGATTGCTGCCATTGTACTGAAGAGGTGTGCAGCGGAGCTTGCTCCAGTTCTTTCGCGTCTCTTCCAGATATCTTATGAATCCGGCACCTTGCCAGAAAACTGGAAATTTGCTCATGTCCAACCCACCCCAAAAAAAGGATCCAAGACCGACCCTTACAACTACAGGCCTATAGCTCTGCTTTCCGTTATAAGTAAGGTGATGGAGAGGTGCATAAATCGCGAGCTTCTGGACTACCTCGAAAGTCACAGCTTGATTAGCGACAGGCAGTATGGTTTCCGGCACCAACGATCCATAGGGGACCTCCTAGCCTACGTTACGCAATTGTGGAGTTAACTCATCCAGTCTTATGGTGAGGTTATTGTCGTTGCTCTTGACATCACGAAAGCGTTCGATCAGCTATGGCACGCTGCCCTCTTAAGTAAACTTCAATCCTATGGCCTTCCAGAATAGCTTTGCAGATGGGTGGCTGACATTATCTCTGGCCGCAAGACATCCGTTGTAATTGACGGGTTCTCCTCTTCATCCCACAACGTCAACGCGGGAGTTCCCCAGGGATCGGTCTTGGCCCCGACAGCTTCGCTGATGACAGCACTCTACATGCAGAAATTCAGAGTGACAAGCCGATCTCTGCCGCTGAGCTGGAAAGAAGAAGACTAGCGAAGACTTCCTCTCTGACAAGAGACCTGGAGCCTATCACTGCTTGGGGACGCAACAATCTTGTACATTTCAATGCTTCCAAAACGCAGTACTGTACTTTGACGAACAAAAAGCGTCCTAGCGCTCATCCAGTTTCGATGGATGGCCGAGTTCTGCCAAAGAGCCATTCCTTTCGGCTGGTCGGAGTCCAGATCACCGAGGACCTGATCTGGCACGAGCACATCTCGTCAATAGCAGCAGCTGCTGAGAAACAGCTAGGCTATTTGTTTAGGACTAAGAAGTACTTTTCTCCGCATGATCTTCTCACTCTATACAGGGCCCAGATAAGGCCTATCCTCGAGTATTGCTCAGACGTTTGGGGTGCTGCCGCCCCGACTACATAGTCCATGCTCGATGCTGTCCAGAGCAGGGCGGTCCGACTGATCGATGACTCTTCTCTAACAGACAGTCTCGGGACACTTTCGCACCGGCGGGCCGTCAGCGATCTAGCTCTTTTCTACCGCTACACCAACGGGCTTTGCTCCTCAGAGCTCCCTTCCATGATGCCGCCGCGCGATGTGCCTGCCAGGCAGATCCGCCTGACTTTGGCGTCCCATCCTAACCGTGTCGAACTTCTTACATCCAGAACTGGCCGATACGACCGCTCCTTTGTCCCGAGGGTGTCGAGATTGTGGAACAATCTACAAGAGGAAGCTTTTCCCAGTTCTAGTAACCTTAGGCAGTTCAAAAATCGTATTAACAAAATTTCTTTGGGATCATCATAGCAGCGCGGTGTTCCGGCATTTAGGCTTCTGCCTACACGGCTACTTCGATATAAAAAAAAATATGTTTGAAATTCTTGAAATTCCGAAAGTCTTTTAAAACTGCGATGCATATAATTGTATACGCTTCTTACCAACTTTTGGATACATTTCTATATTTTTTCAGTGTATTTTTCAATTTTTTTTGTTTGCCACAAACCTTCCGATAAATCACTAGAAATATGACATTTAACAAAAGTTACTATCACTAAACTTGTTCAAAAATTACTAGATCTAGTGAAATTTCACCAGACCTGGAAGCATTGGGACTAGATGACACTAGATTCATATCGATGAAGCCGAACGCACTCAAACGTCAACCGAAGCTCTATGTGGTTGCCTAAGCTTCGACGTTTCTGGACTCATGTCGAATCTTCTGGTCAATTTACAAGGATGTCTCGCGGAGTTTCAGTCATACGAGGGCGTTACAGAATAATATTCTTAATACTGCTACATACTTCTAGCGCATTCTATATGAAACCAATTTTACCATGAATATCATATATTTACAGCAACAAACTTGGTTATGAAACCTCTTAATTGGTGCTCTCCACCCTAAATTTACATTAAAAGTGAAATATCCACACAACTTCAGAGCTGTACTATTACTTGTTAGCAGGTTCCGATTGTAGAAAAAATGTATAAAATTCACCAAGAATGCATCTTTTAAAAAAAAATATAATGTAGAATATAACAGTCATAGGAAAAGTATTAAGAATACCTCCTTCGGATTCAACATGACGCCTTCGTCCATCCAACCATGGACAGCTGTTTCGTGCTTCTTGGCTACTCATCAGCATGGTCTCTGGGACAGCGAACGAAAGCATCGCAACTATCCTTTATCCAGAAGGTACTCTCTATCGAAATGAGGCAGTGCAAAGCGCTATTTATCACCAAAATCGTCAGCCATCTAGCGGTCACGTGGTGACTGGGCTATTAAACGTGAACTGTAATAGCAGCTAAGAACTCTCGCAGTAGTCGATTCTGGTGATGGCGCTTTGCGCTGTCCTATTTCGATTTACCACACCTGCTGGATAGAGGATAGTTGCGATGCTTTCGTTCATTGTCCCAGAAACGATAGACCAAGCCTAGACCATGCTTATGCGTTGCCAAGAAGCACGAAATAGCTGTCTTTTGGTGGACGGACGAAAACATTATGCTTTGTTTATTCAATCCCAAGTTGACCGGTCACGTGCGGACTGGGCTATTAGACGTGAACTGAGATCTTTAACAGTTCCAACTAATAGCAACTATGCACTCCCGCAGTGGTCGATTCTGGTGAAAGATGGCGCTTTGCGCAGTCCTACTCCTTCAGAAAAGACACCAGCGCAGCACAGTTTCGCCTTCCCTGTCGTGACGCTTGCCCTTAGTGGAGGGTGGAAAGTGAACCAGCTGAGAGTTATGGAAGGTTCACGCGATCTCGATCCGGTTTATATCTTGAAGCCGAACATGGAGGAATATTTGGTTAATAGTTGTGCAGTTTTGAGTACAGATGTCAGTGGTATGTTAGCGAAAAGGTTAAGAGACTTACGTGGACAGAAACAAAAATAGTAAGAAAACATTGATTAGGTCAAAAAGTGAATACTTCGAACAAGAAATTCTGGCGAACACATTTTGGCAGCCACTAAACTAAACGATGAGGGTCTTAAAAGTGTGCTACCAATGTTTAAGGTATTTCATCGCGCATTCCGAAGTCAAATACGATCACTAAGATCTGCCCCGCTCTCGACTGCCTTGCCTGAAAATCAAACGTGTTTGATGCCGAGCGTTAGCCGTCGAGGACTTTCCCCTCTCCCAATAACGTCAAAGGCAGACTCACGCAATTCATTAATGCGAGGATCACGCTAACGTGCCAAGCTCTGTGGGAACACCGCATAAGCCATTTACCGCTTTGCTTGGTGTAGGGAATTGGCCTGCCTAAACATATAAGACGTTCGCGATTTTCTTTAGGATGCCAAAATACTTACTACTACCTACTGTACAGGCTCTTGAAGCACGAATTCAAGATATTAAGCATACACTACTTTTGATTATAGGTATATATTTTTTTCAGGGATCGCATGATTTCGGCCTCATTATTGGCTCCATATACTCTGCAATTCTCATAACGTCTACAATTCATCTGAGGACTGGAGGATATATTTATGATAATGTTACATACGTATCTGATGTAAGTACTGTTCATTCTGATGGCCTTTTTACCCTTAAAAAGCAATAACAGTCTAATTTGCTCTTGCTAACAACTGTTTTCAGATATGTTCTATTTACGGTATTCCGATATTTTTTCACTGAGCCTCTCAAGTAACTCCATACAGTACACATTTTGGAAGTTAGAAATTTCTTTTTCAAAGTTAGCCAGCGGCGCCGCTCAATTTAAAAACACAACTTGCAATTTGGAAGCTATCTGTCATCTATTGTGATAAACTTAACGTGCTTGCAAGCAGCCCATGTCCTTAGCTTCTTGCATGAGCTAAATAAATTCACACAACTTTGTTTATTGCTAAAGGAAATTGCCACTTTCAGTTTGTTCAAATCCGTTGTATAAAGAAACATCTAGGCTTACCTGGCACGGCGCTGTCGTTCAAAGTTGCCAGGAAACTGTCATTTCTTGTTGCCTTACGATGAGGTCGGTAGTACCGCGATTAACGTAACTACTCTTAGGTGGCATTTATTTTTCACTTTGTATAATCCTAGAAAAACATAATTATTTGCCCTCCAGGACTGCCTGTCTTCCAACGTCACGCTGCCATCTGGCATCTCGCCCAGCCTTGTCTGCGCTAACGCCACCTACTCAGCGCCGCCGGAATACAACAGCCAACTGGATCTCTTGTTCGACCGGGATGAAGAAGGGCGGATATGTGGTGCGCAGGCGTGTCCGGTGTTTGGCTGCGCCCTGAACGGCACGCTATTGGTCGATCAGGCTGAAGGGGAGGTTGAAGAGGTACAATTTGGGGGTGTATTCAAGGTAGGTGGGATTACATTACTTTTGTGAATAGATTCACTTGAGTCTTACAGGAAAACTAGTGGAACTTATTACGAGTTCTGATACAAATTCTTTCTCAGTGTTACCAAATTCTGTCAAGAAGAATTAAAGGTTTAAATAAGAAATCATGTAAACCTAGGCTTGGAAATGATTTGTTTTCACAATACTTGTCCATCTGTCATAGTCTGCCTCACGTTTATCGAATCGAATCAAGTCCTCTAGTACATGCAATGTATTACCAAAGGTCGCATTAAGGTCTAAACATTTATTTTCTGATGTTCGTTTTGGCAAGAGTCTATGCTTGGAAAAAAACAGTAGGTCACTAGATAATACAGGCAACTAGCGCAGTTGCTGGCACGCTAACGCTATGCAAAATATTGCACGTTGATGTCTTTATTTAAAACCTCACGTAGCGCAGTTGCTGGTATGCTAATGCAATGCTAGCGATAACTTTATCCCTATCTCTAATCATTTTTTATCCTTTGGCATCTTTGATCTGGTATCTGGTATCTGGTATCAGGTATCTGGTATCTGGTATTTGGTATCTGGTGTCTGGTGTCTGGCATCTGGTATCTGGTATCCGGTGTCTGATGTCTAGTATCTGGTATCTGGTGTCTGGTATCTGGTATCTGGTGTCTGGTATCTGGTATCTGGTATTTGGTATCTGTTATCTCTTTATCTGGTATCTGGTATCAGGTATCTGGTATCAGGTATCTGGTATCTGGTATCTGGTATCTGGTATCTGGTGTCTGGTATCTGGTATCTGGTATCCGGTGTCTGGTATCTGGTATCTGATGTCTGGTATCTGGTATCTGGTGTCTGGTGTCTGGTATCTGGTGTCTGGTATCTGGTGTCTGGTATCTGGTATTTGGTATCTGTTATCTCTTTATCTGGTATCTGGTGTCTGGTATCTGATATCTGGTGTCTAGTATCTGGTATCTGGTGTGTGGTATCTGGTATCTGGTGTCTGGGATCTGGTGTCTGGTGTCTGTTGTCTGGTGTCTGGTATCTGGTGTCTGGTGTCTGATGTCTGGTGTTTGGTATCTGGTATCTGGTGTCTGGTATCAGGTATCTGGTAACTGGTATCTGGTATCTGGTATCTGGTATCTAGTGTCTGGTGTCTGGTATCTGGTGTCTGGTATCAGGTATCAGGTATCTGGTATCTGGTATCTGGTACTTGGTATTTGGTATCTGATATCTGGTGTCTGGTATCCGGTGTCTGGTTTCTGGTATCTGGTATCTGGTATCTGGTGTCTGGTATCTGGTGTCTGGTATCTGGTATCTGGTATCTGGTGTCTGGTATCTGGTATCTCGTATGTGGTGTCTGGTATCTGGTGTCTGGTATCTGGTATTTGGTATCTATTATCTCTTTATCTGGTATCTGGTATCTCGTTTCTGGTATCTGCTATCTGGTGTCTGGTATCTGGCGTCTGGTATCTGGTATCTGGTGCCTAGTGTCTGGTGTCTGGTATCTGGTGTCTGGTATCTAGTATCTGGTATCTGGTGTCTGGTATCTGGTATGTGGATCTGGTATCTGGTATCTGGTATCTGGTGTCTAGTATCTGGTATCTGGTATCTGATATCTGGTGTCTGGTATCTGGTATCTGGTATCTGGTGTCTGGTATCTGGTATCTGGTGTCTGGTATCTGGTATCTGGTATCTCGTATGTGGTGTCTGGTATCTGGTGTCTGGTGTGTGGTATCTGGTATCTAGTATTTGGTATTTGGTATCTGTTATCTTTTTATCTGGTATCTGGTGTCTGGTATCTGGTATCTCGTTTCTGGTATCTGCTATCTGGTATCTGGTATTTGGTGTCTGGTATCTAGTATCTGGTATCTGGTATCTGGTGTCTGGTATCTGGTATCTGGATCTGGTATCTGGTTTCTGGTATCTGGTATCCGGTGTCTAATATCTGGTATCTAGTATCTGGTATGTGGATCTGCTATCTGGTTTCTGGTATCTGGTATCTGGTGTCTGGTATCTGGTATCCGGTGTCTGATGTCTGGTATCTGGTGTCTGGTATCTGGTATCTGGTTTCTGGTATCTGGTATCTGGGATCTGGTACCTGTCATCTTTTATGAGTTTTCATTTTTCGTTTTCCGTTGTCCGTTTTCCGTTTTTCGTTTTT